TGTCAATTCTCTTCCTGCATAAAACACTGCTTTATATTTACACTTCCCTCCCTCTAAGGCAGGGGTCAGTAACCTACGGCCCGAGGGCCGGGGCCACACCGCCGAGGCCTTTGGACCGCCCCCGCCGACCCCTGCCACTGCCATGCGTGCCGCAGACGCCATTTTGTTTTCCAAAATGGCGGCCTCTACTCGTTTGTGTATGCGCAGTACCCCTGTGCATGCGCGAACAAGCCACAGCCGCCATTTTGGAAAACAAATGCCAGCCGTGACTCGTTTGCGCTTGGCTGCCATTTTGTTTTCCAAACTGGCAGCCACGGCTCGTTCACGCATGCACAGAAGTACTGTGCATGTGCAAACAAGTCATGGCTGCCATTTTGGAAAACAAAATGGTGGCCATGACATGCACGGCGGCAGCATGGCGGCAGCGCGCACAGCGGCAGCGGGGGGCGGCAGGAGCTGCGTGCACATGCGGCACCATTTCACCACCACCACCATCGGCCCATGGAAGGCCAGGGGATCCCCGGACAGGACCCAGGTAAGGGGAACTTGCCGACCCCTGCTCTAAGGGAATAATAAACACAAGTATCCCTGATGATATGGCCCTAACATTTCTGTTGTTTGCCTTCAAGTCATTTCTGACTTATGGTGACATTAAGATGAACCTATCACAGGGTTATCTTGGCAAAATTTGTTCAGAGCATGGTTAGTCTTGCCTTCCTCTGAGGCTGAGAGAGGGTGACTTACCCAAGGTTACTCAATGGGCTACCATGGCCTGCCACAGGTAGCAGGTGTTGGGGAGGGTAGGAGACCTTTCCATTCCATCTGTTGAAGCATTGTACATTTCATCATCTGCCTGGGTGCAACTGAATTTTTCCCCACCTCAGACACAGTGGAGGGCATTGTTCTGTCAACAGTGCTGAAGTAAGATTCAAAAAGCACTCCAATCAGTTTATGCACATGAACTGGTCCAGGACAACCACTTTGTCCTTCTCCTTCTTTATTCAGCCTCAGAACACATCACAGAAATATTTACAAAGGCAAGTCATTCAATAGAATGTCAAGAATGACCAAAGTTTTTCTAACAACGAATAATGTTGATGCTGTCAGATGAATCTTATTATCTCTGTTCTACATTCCCAAGATAGGCTTTGGCAGTCATGGTCAATTTTAATAATAATTTTAATAAGCTTTAACCTCTTTCAAGAGGGAATTCTATCACCTATCTAGCTCATTTAATATATGAGCTGTCCCATCCAACACACAAAAGCATTTTCTGGCATTTTTTAAAGATGTTACTCTAAGATTAACATTTTTTTTAAATAAAAATCTAAATTTTCAGTGACAACCAGAAGTTTGTCTTGACAATTTTTCCTTTATGGAAAAGGTTAGCCCATAAATCCAAAGAATCTCAGGGGGAATCATGGCCCAAATTTACAAATTACATATCACCCCACTAAGAGCCAATGTGAGCAACAAAGCATCCAACAAAAGTGCAAAGAATATAAATATCACAGCTATGAGCTATCATTCTCTCTTGGTTTTCCTTTGGTCCCAAATATATATATATATATATATATATATATATATATATATATATATATATATATATATATATATATATTAAAAAAGCAAACAAATTGCCTGTCAAGAATTTTGGCAACAAAAGAAAGTCCTCATTTGCATTATAAAGATGGTAAAATTTGAAACACCAAGAGATAACTAAAATCCTGTACATTTGGGGATTTTAAGAGAGAGCAAGCCTGAACAACATGTGACCTCCACAAACCAAGCACAGCCTGCTGGCCTTATATTAAAGGCTGAAGGTACTTAACAATAGCCTCCTTTTTTTACAATAGCCTGTTTTTACAGGCTCTAGTAGGCCAAAAAAAGTCATTTATTGAGATTGTGTTGGGATTGGTTGATGGAATGAAGGACAGTGGATTTACTAGCTGGCTGGTAAACAAGATTACTGGAGTGAAAACTGGAGAGGGTTCTTGTACTTTCAATGGCTGTGTAAAGAGGGAGTTTTAGCAAGTGTTGTTTGTTACTTGATTGTCTGACAAGCAATATTTGCTTTAATTTTCTATTCTATACAATCAATGTGGGTATAGACATCCTCTCCTATTTACATTCTGATCAACACAATGGAGTTTCATCCAGTTACTGTTTCCATTGGAGCTTTGCATCTGGATGATGTTCTGTGAGTGGAATAGGGTCTTGAAACACTGCCAAGTACTTGATAGACTGTATGCTGCCTAACTATGGATACAATGGGTTTATGGGAGAAACTATACATTTACAACTTCTTTGTCTCCCTTGCTGCTCCAGAGACTAGAATAAAAACCAAGAGAGCCAGTGTGGCATAGTGGTTTGAGCACTGGGCTATGACTCTGACAACCAGGGTTTGATTTCCACTCAACCAGGAATCCCACCAGGTGACCTTGGGCACGTCACATGCTCTCAGCCTCAGGGGAAGGCAATGACAAACCTTCTCTGAAGAAATCTTGCCAAGAAAACCCCATGATAGTGTCATCTTAGGGTCACCATAAGTCGGAAATGACTTGAAGGTACACAGCACACATGCAGATCCAAAATACAGGGAAGGAGATTCAATCTAAACATTAGGAAGAACTTCCTGCCTGTAAGAGCTGTTACAGACTACCTCAGGGGGAGGTGGATTCTCCTTCTTTGGATGTCATTAAACAGATGTTGGATGGACATTTTTAAAGAGAGCTTTAGAGAAAAGAAGAGACCTGGAAGAGGAAAATACAGATAGGTCATACTGTAAAAAAAAAATAATACAAAAATGACAATTAATATCATTTCTTGGAATGTGAAAGGAATAAACAATAAACATAAATACAACATAGTATTTCATTGCATGGAAAATTTAAAATTTAAAATATTACATGTCTGCAGGAGGCAAAGATAAAAAAATAGTGATTCTAGGTTCTTGATAAATAATAAATTAGGAGAGTGCTTCTACTCATCTACAGAAAAAAGAAAGAAAGGGATAGCTATCTATGTGTAAAGGAATAAAGCCAAAGAAATCTTTAAAGACAAAGATGGTACCCTCATAGCGGTGGAAGTGAAACTCAAAAATCTGACCTGCTTAGTTTTGGGCATCTATGCACCGATAGAAAATAGAGAGCAATTTTTCAATAAGGTTTACAAAGAAATTAAAGTAATGGAATATAATGACATAATTTTATTAGGAGATTTCAATGCTGTGATTCACCCAGAATTAGATAGATTCTCCACTCAGAAAAAGATAAGAAAAAATCAAGGTAAACTTCCAACAACTTTTTTCAAACTACAAGAAGAATATGATTTGACTGACATTTGGTGATATAAGAATAAGGATGAACAACAATATACTTTTTTTAGGAAGTGCATAATTCTTATTCTAGGATTGATTTGTTTTTAACATCACCAACATTACTTCCATTAGTACAAGCTATGGAAATCGAACCAAGGTATATATCAGATCACAGTCCAATTATACTAAGGATAAAAGAAAAAAACAGAGAGTATATATGGAAACTACCAGAAACTTTATTATATGAAGAAGAAATACAAAATAAAATTAAAAAAAATTAAGATCATACTTCAAAGAAAACAATACTGATGGAATATCTAGCATTACTTTATAGGAGACCAGTAAAGTGGTATTAGGGGTGTGTTCATAAAAATACAATCAGAAAAAAAGAAAAGAAGAAAATAGGAAGAAAAAAGAAATAACAGGACGATTAAAGAAAAAAGAAAAAGAATGGAAACAAAATGGAGATAAAGTTGGATGGACATTTTAAAGAGAGCTTTAGTACTGTATTCTTTCATGGTAAGGGGTTGGTGCAAGATGGACTTGTGATACATTCTAACATTAAAATTCTATTATTCCAGTGTAAGTTGAAAAAAGTTATCTTACAAAGAGCTATTGGGTTGTTCTTATGCCTCCTGTCCTATGGCTTCAGGAAGGTTACAGGGTTATTTTGTTCTGTCCTCTTATATCTGTCTGGGGTTACTAAACTCCATCCCTATGCAGCCCTATGACCAAACACAAGGACCTTTGCACCTTCACCTGTAGAACAGATTTTCATTATACATGTGAGAGAGGAAAAGATAACATGTTTAGAAAAAGTATCAAGTTCAAAATGGTTGAAAAATACTTGATTAAACCAACAACCTTGGACTGCCTGATTAAGAAATAGAAGAGAATAAATAACATTGTGAGTAAAATAATGTTATTGCTGTTAACTGCCATCAAGTGGGCTTTGACTTATGGTGATCCTGATTGGAGTTTTTTTAAAAATTACTAATCATGGCATAGAACCAAAATGAGCACAGGCTAAGCAAATGCATATGGACACAAAATTGGAGGAGGGAGAACTAGACAAGAAAAGATTCAAGAACAGCACCAGGGAAAACAATGTAGTCTTTCAGGAAATGCCCAAAGGGCCAAAAGGCAAATTACTGCTCTGTTTAACAGAGAAAAAAATCATAATATTTTATTAAAGAGAAAAGAAAACCCCTAAATCTGCTTTTCACTTTTAAACAAGATAGTGGTACATGTAAATGTGAAGTAGTATCTAGTTTGATGAGGCTGCATTATAATAGAGGATTTAGTTGTGTGTTGTTGTGGTAGTTTTTTTAGAAAAAAAAAACACACACACATCTTTTCCATGAAGCATTCTGAGAAGCTGAGAACCCTACATGGGTTTACAATTTTAATTTTCAAAACCAAAATTTGTGGATTGGGGGGATTGCAGAAATCCTTTTTGTTGTTATTTTCCATCAAGTAACTTTGACCTATGTTGACCTTCTCATGCATCAGGTCACCGTAAGTCAAAGCTGACTTGATGACAAATTACAATATTAAATCCTCAATAAATTCATACATTCTTAATCTCCCCCCCACACACACACACACACACATGACACTTTTAGCTAAGGAGAGGTTAGCTTAAGAGTGGTCAGTTGTGGCAGGTCTGGGGACAAGGAAAGCTAGTGTGGTACAGTGGTTTGAGCACTGGACTATGAATCTGGAGACCAGGGTTCAAATCCCTGCTTGGTCTTGGAAACCCACTGGGGATTGATCAGACAGAGAGAAACAAATGGGCCATTCCTGGGTTTTCCCTAATCAGGAAAAACCTCCGCTGTCCACACAGCCAGCCCCCAAGGCAGGCCAAACACCCACAGGGAGTCCACACCACACAGTGTCAAACTGTGTTACTCAATTATTTTATTTTATTGCCTCCTCCAATGCATGTGTACTATTGCACAAACACACTGCCTGTGATGGCAAATTATCTCCCTTGTCCTGCCCAGCTGCCATCCCATTGGACCCTGTATAACCAGCTGTATGACAAGTGATGCAGTGCCTGTACAGTGCATCACGGCACCCAATAATACATTGGGAAAGCACACTCATGGAGGTTCCCCATACATTCCCCCTTCATTCCCTGCCCCCCGTCGGACTGTCTAGTTTGTTTATGTTTTATTACATCCATTACATTATTGGCAATCTGTCATGTTTGTCCTAATTTCACTTCAAGCCATGCCGTGTGATTTTTTTTTTCTACCTGCACACAAACACACCACCAGCAACCTCCAATTACTTCCCTCTTCCTTCCCAGAAGCCATTCCATTAGACACCCACCCATATGATCAGCCACACAATTGCATGTGCAATGCATCACCTATACAGTGCATTGGTGCATTGACATGCCCAGTGGCAAAGCACAATCAACCATACATACCCGCATTACCCTACGCCCTCATTGGACTGTCTGGTTTATCTATGTTATACAGTCAACCCTCTACATTCACATGAGTTAGGGGCCAAGGACCCCCGCAAAAATGGAAAAACCATGAATACATTAACCCTCCACAACATGAATGATAAAGAGTTCTCTCCCACCAAGAGCATCATCCCTAACATTTTTTGCAATCTTGAAATGCATAGCCTCCCCCACATTTCCAAAGTGCTTTCACTTTCAATCTGATGTTAGCAGCCACAGCTGCAAAGGATCCATCTTCTCTCCTACTCCCCCTCCCTCTCGGCCAGACAAAAGCAACACCATATCTTCCCCATCTTGCCCCATCATGGCAAATGGAAGGCACAGTGTTGCTTTTGTCTGACCAGGAAGGAGGGGGAAGAGGAGGAGATAAGATGGATCTTCCCAGGGGTGGTTGCAAACATTGGATTCAAAGGGAAGGTCTTTGGAAATGAGGAGCAAAGTTTGACAAAGCAGGAGAATGTACGGTGTTGGTTTTGGCTGGTGAGGAGGAAGGGGAAGTGAAGAGGTTAACCTTGTTTAGCAGCAGCTACAAAGTTGTGAATAGTCAAAACTGCAGATCTGAAAGCTCTGACTGTGGGGGGCCAGCTGTAATTTCATCCTTTGAATTATTGGTGATCACCTTTTTGCTTTCCTGCAGTCCCGTACTGGTGCTGAAATATTTATATGCCGGTGCAAAGACTTTGACTCTGAGTATCCCAGCTTCTTTTTGCTCCATTTTTTAATCCTGAAGTGTGGCTTCTTTTCAGTTCCCAACTGCTTTTGCCTTGTGCATCGTCTAACCCCCCCACCACCACCTTCAAAGCTGCTGGAAACCACTTTATTTTGCCCATGTGTTTCACCACTTAGAATGATAGTATTTGAATAGTTCACAATATAAATTCTGGATTTGCAAGCTCAAAACTGACTTTCTCTTCCAGCTTTGAAACTTCTGAATAATGTTGTGAAATATGACATTGTGGGAGTGAGGATTATATTCTAAAAAAAGCAGATCCTGGAGTTTTTTTCCTCGTTAAAATATATTTATGCATTCTCTTCTTTTCTCTATTAAACAAAATATTAATTTGCCTTCTGACCATATGGGCATTCCCTGCAAGATTACATTATTTTCATGGTGCTATTATGGACATAATTTGGAATGAGGTTAACTAGCAAATATTCATGACTGGTGGACTACACTGATCTTAGTCTGAATTTATTTTATTTATTCATTTTATATTCCATCTTTCTCACAATCAGCATTCTGTGCAATCATGCTGGCCACATGATCACAGAGTAGTCTCTGACAACGCTGGCTCTTTGGCTTAGTAACAGAGATGAGCACTGCCCCCTATGGTCAGACACAACTTCACAACCTTATTAATGGGGAATACCTTTACCTTTTTTCTCACAATATAGTACTCAAGGCAGCTGACAAGGCAGATTTTAAAAAATACAGCAACAATCAACCATCATATTAAAAATAAAAATAATTCAGCTATCAAGTTAAAATGCAGCTGCCCTTCACATCAAGTGTATCTGATGACTACAGTAGTGTTATTTCCAGTTGGATACTCAGTACCTCCTGAATTGACCACGACTGGCTAAAACATCAGGAAGTGTCAAGGAAATAGGTATGCAAGGACATCCAGAATCCTCAGCAAAAACAACAATGAATGACTTGAAACCACTTGATGTTTCATATACAAGATCAAGTACTGGCCTGTTCCAAAGCTTGTCCTCAAATTGCCTCTTTAAATAGGATATTGAGGATGTAGGAAGGAAGTCACTATGGAATGTCCAAGTCTAAGCAGCTCACACTCTATATATAAATAAGATCTCCTCTCCCTGGGATTTTTCTTCATGTTACAATCAATAGCAAAAGGCAGTGTTATTTCTGAATGCAGGAACACATGCAGTAAGTGAAGGTGGTGTCTTATGAGCTGTACAAAATCCTCAGGCAATCTGAAGGTCTAGTAAGAAAAGTGCATAAGAGGAACCCAAATGAACTTCCTGTGTGTAGACTTAAGCCCTGGAAGATGAGTTAGGAATGTTCATTTCACAAATAGTAAAATTCAAAATTCACAAGTCAGAAGCATACAATCACACAGGTGAGACAAAACAACAATAAGTAGTACAGAAGTTCATCCAACAGACTGATAACAACAAGAAGCAATGTGCTTGACCTACTATATTCAAAGTCTAGGTATATAGAGATATGTTTTGTTCTGGACAGAGGATAATCTGTCATTTATATTGTACCATTTACTGATGTCATTAATTTTCTTCCTAGCTCACCATGCAACAAGGATATGTAGCAAGAGCACTATCTAAAGTATTTGGGGTCAAAGCTACATGTGAATTTTATGCAAAGCTATTTGAGACATAGAAGGTCTTCTGACAGGGTTTTCCATTTCAACTTGAAAGTAAGAACACAACATCTGAATTGCAATGAGGTGTCAATACCCTTCCTTCCATGTCATTCACAACTGAAATCCCTAGGAACACAAATAACTAAACTGATAGGTCATCCTCTGGACATGTCATGAAATGATTCCCTGAAAAAAGACTTGGTGAAGTGGAATGCAGTAGGAAAATAGGAAGACTGCACTACAGATGGATTGATTCAATCAGGGAAGGCACAAAATTGAGTTTGCAATATATGAGCAGGGCAGGTGATGACCAGGTTTCTTGGATTCAACATAACATATCCTCATACTGTCACAACCTGGCAGAGACGATCCTGATTATTCCTTTATTGGCCCACATTTTTCAGATTTTTTAAATGCCCCTGTTTCTCTCTCCTCTTCCCACATTTCTCTTTTTCCCCCAGCTTACTTCAACTGTTGAAAACTGGGTTCATAGTGCAAATGTAGTTTGTACTCATTTAATTCACCATGGGTGAATGGAAAGGAGTGGGTGGAATCTTACCATACCTGTCCAAGTTTCTACCCATGAAATGTTGGAGGTTATGTCATAAGTCAAAGTTGATAGATAGAGAGTGGGGTGAATGATACCATCAAACACAGCCCTGAGCGAGCAAGACCTAAGCGGGCTATTGACAACTGGGGCTTCATGAAGGTCATTCATCCATAAAGTTGGCTTAAGTCAAAGCTGACTTATGGTAAATAACAATAATGTACTTCAGTTTGTTTTAAGCACAGATAATAATAGCTGTAGGAGCAGTTTCAGTTGGAGAAGCAATGCAAGAAGAAAGAGTTAATCATCCTCTTTTCCCAGAGCTGATCCACCAATAGAATTTATCTGATTACAGCATACATGCTTTTAAACCTTTTAAACATTTGTTTATATTTTATTGATTTTTTTTTCTTTCTTAAACAATGGGAAGTGGACAAAACAAGGAAAAAGAGAGAGAGTGTCAAGGATCCCTGTGTTGACACTAATAGAAAACAAGTGAATGTTTGCTTGCATTAATCACCTATAAATTAAGCATACAGCTCCATGTGTACAGTGTAAACCTGCATAGATAACTGGGAGATTTTATGTGTAATATGATGCTCATACATATTCAGAGAAATTAGCAAGATCATCAGACCACCTCAGTGCTGGCCAATTGAACCCACCCCCTGGACAAGATGCACTGCAAAGGCCAGCCAAGTAATGATTATTAATATTATTATTGTTTGTTTATATAGCACCATCCATGTACATGGCATTGTATAAACAGAAAATGACACATTTATAACTATTCCAGTAATATAAAATACAATGCTAAAATACAATATAAAAATAAAACCAAGCACACACTCATGTATACAATGCAGAATAAAACAAAGTAATAAAGTAATAAAATAAAACAAACTACAGATAATCAAATATACTAAAGATACATAAATGGAATACATGTATGTAGACAAAAAGTTATAATTCAATGTTTAAATTTAATTTCATGTTTAATAGAATTCAGTGATGGACTCCTAATGAAATATTCAGCAATTAATACATGTAAAACAAAGCAAGATAGCAAATAAGACAGTATGTGGAAAGGAGGGGGGGAAACATTTAATGGAATGAATTGTAAAGAAGTGGAAATAGGAAGGTTTCAAACAGCAACATTAATAACATGATTTGTAGATTAATGTTGTAACTCAGAAAGGAGAAGACTCAGCTATTGGAGGGACAGAGGCAACAACTGGAAAGAACCTCATCAGAAGATGTCGAGAAGAAAGTTATTCGAATGGAAGAAATGCAACACTTATTTCAATGATGACAAGAAAACAAAGAAATTCAAGTTTATGTTATTTTTGTGGTTTATTGATGTAATTAAGTTCTCAAGA